TCAGTTTATGGATCGTTTATCTTAATTTTAATTTATTTTAGCGTATTTTTTTAAAAATCTTAATTAGCGTTAATTATCAAAACTTGCAACGAGCCGTGGTCATGTTGTTAAAACAAAGAACTTTATGCGTGGTCATATAAGGCATGCAATCGCATGCCTCTTATGAGAAGGTCTGTGAGGTGTTTATTTATTAACTCTTCATAAACCATATAAATTTATATATATAAGTCTTCTCCATTTGACAAGCGGTTTCGTGCTCTTGCAGTTTTGCGCTCGCGCACACGCCGCCAATACAACGCCTGGTGTTTTTTTAAATTGCAATAATTCTTTTTTCTTAATCAAATTCTAATTAAAGAGGTACAAAAAAATATATATTTTTTAAAATTGCGCACGCCGGACAAATAATTACTGTCCGGCCAGCACTTTTTCGTGCGCTGGCAATAAATTTCTAACAGAGAGGACTATATATATATATACATATATATATACATATATATATATATATATATATATATATATATATATATATATATATATATATATATATATATATATATATATATATATATATTTGTTTGTTATTGGTGGTAAAAACAGTATTTTTTAACTAACCTTTTAACAGTTTTATCATCAGAACTGCTTAGTGGTGCTAACGACTTATGATAAGATATTACTTCTGAGAGCACTTTAGTAAAACAAAATTTTTTTAAAAATTTGGCCTTTGACATAGAAAATGGTCTAAATTTATAAAAATTGGTATATTATTGGGTCCAGGAATTTTAAAGATTAAAAAAAATTTATTGGGAAACATACAACAGATTCTGGTAATATGCTTCATATCATTAGGTATGATACCGTTAAAAATCTGTTAGTTATACAACAATAAATAGTTTTGAAAAAAAAAGAGTAGGACAAAACCGTGCAAATAAAATTAGAAATGAGTGGAAACAAATCTTTATATATAGCTTGTGTTATTAAATAAAAGTTTTGATTTTTTTCAATATTGTTTAAGTATTTAGGCTCTCAAAAATCTTTGTTTTTCACGCTTAAAAATTAAAATATCAGCTAGGGTTAATCCTAATGTGTGGTATTTTGTGGGTGTAAATTTGCGGTTGTAATTTTGAATGTTTTTTTTTACAAAAATTTATTTTGTTTTATTATTGTGCTCTGATGACAAACTACAAATTTTTTACTTGCAAACTCAAAACTTATTGAAGCAATGAATCATTATGATAAAACAAACATATTGACAAAATACTACTGCTTCATTGGTCTAATAACTTTAATATAAACATAGAACGTACATCTCAAGATAAATCGATGGCATTAAATAAATAATCTTATCTCTAGTTCACAACTTAACCCTATTTATATTGGGTCACGGAGGTCAAGATTATACTGGCGCCCCCAAAAATAGATTTCATTCTAATAAATCCGTCATTAAATTAAATAATGAATAAAAATACAGCTTATTCTAAAACTTTCTTTGACACAAATACACCTTTAAGTCACTTTTTAAAACAACACTACTCAATTTTAAATAACATTATTCAATTGTAGAAACTGCAAATAAACAACACTTATTTTACATGGTTAAAATTGTTGTTTCAAAGTATAGATTTTAAATAAGTTTCAAGTTTTTTTCTTTTGCTTAAGGAGGTCCTCTCAGAAAAGGCTAACTTTTGGTAGCAAACAGTTTTTGATTTAGTTTTTCACCAAAAATATGGTTCTATAAACTAATTACAAAAATCAATTTGAAAAAAAAATGTCTCAATTACCCAATCATTTAAAAAAATGAAAAAACTAGCAATTTTTGTGACAAGCTAACAATCAAAATATTTATTATATTAAGCTGAAAATTGGTGTATATACTCATGAGGAATCTTAATCCACATTTTTTATTATTTACAGTAAATAAAAGGTGACATTTGAAACAAACATAGAAAATTTGGTGGACGAACTGCCAACACTAGTCTCATAAAAAAGTACTTCCCTAATTTTATTTTTAATATCCTTCTCTCATCCGAATCCATTTTTAATAATGTAAAAAAAAAAAAAAAAAAAAAATTAGATGACAAGCTTAAACAAGTCCAAAGTTAACATGTTTTAATAATTTGTATTCGAGGCAAAACTTAATTCTGAGGAAACAACAAATATACAAAACAAAAGAATAAATCCATAATAAAAAGTTTATAAAAACATATCAAAGCCCTCCAGGAATATATTTTGAGTTTTTTTCTTTATTTTTTTTGTCTAAGTAAACCTTTTTAATTGTTCTTAGTTATTTTCTTCTCTTTTTGACATGATCAGTGGACTTTTGAAGAGACCGCTTTATAGTTTCTTTATTATTTTCATTGAGTTTTATAAACGTAACATACCCTGATAGTTGAAACTTATTTAGTACAAATAGGATTCCATTTGGACCTTCATTAAATTCAATAACAGATGAATTAACGGCAGACTCTTAGATCCCTCTACCGCAAAATTATTTTTTGGGCAACGTCTCCAAATAATCTGGTTGAATGTCTCATTGACGTTTGGGATCTTATCATGAAGATATATTTTTAGTAAATCATCTGAAGATAAATCAGTAAAAGTTGGTTTCAAAATGTTGAAGACTGAAACAGAAAGATTTACTTGCTCTACATAAGTATCTCCACCATGAACTTTGAAGTTTTAACATGAAGTATTTTCACCATGAACTTTGTTTGAATGATATTTGCATTAAGTCCCATTGCTCTTGGGCACATACGGTGTCAACATTCCTTGTCATCAAAATACAATGAAACAAAACCACCCAAACAGCTTTTTTTCATAGCATACAAATTGTTAAGATTGTTTCTTATTGCAAGGCCATTAAAGTTCTGTATAGGATTGATCACAGATCTAGTTAACTTTTTAAGTTAACTAAATCTGTGATTAATCGTGTGATAAATAATCGATACATACTTAATGATTTAAATTTTTATTTTTTATAAATTTGTATATTTATTTTTTTATAAAAAATAATAAAACAGTGATTATAACCTGCTACTAAATAGGATAATATTATATACCGCTACTAAATAAGATAATATTAGTCTCTATGGCTAAGGCTATGAACTTAATTAATGAAACACTTTTAAACTTTTAAAGATTATGAATAATTGTGTTTTTATAAAAACCTGTGAAAATGATATCCAATAATATTTTAATAACCCAACAATTATTTTATAGTGGATTTGCAGGGGACCTATATAAGCATTTTGAGCGATTATTTAGAGTTTTCCTCCTTGGTTACTAAAGGCATTCACTAAAAGTGGCAAGCCAATAACTCTTCAATATATAATATAAAAGCTAGTTATAACAACTAGTTGTTGGCTAGCCAATTTGGCGGCTGCCACTAATGGTCCACTATGTAACCAATGAGCCTTACTACAGTGGAAAAACAGTGAGAAACTCTCAAAATGCCTATTAAGGTCAACTAAAATTCCGCTGTAAAATGTTTGCTTGGAAGGTTGTTTAAAACAACAATTTGCTGTGTATATTTTTTTCATAAAGTCAAAATTAAAATAATAATAAAAAATTTTTACTTAGATTAAAAAAATGATGTCAGAGAATTGTTGTAAAGTTTTTATTCTAAAGTAATCAAAAATAGTATTATTTATGTATTCAAAATGAGCGTATTTGTTAACTATAAATATTGTATTAAAAGCTTTATTTATTTATTTAAAAATTATTTTCATAAATGTTCAATATATAGTTTTATATTCTGTAATAAAAAGTTTCCCCTGTTTTAATTAATTGTCCATTTCTTTACCCTGAAAGTCCTATAATGCGCCTCTGAGACTTTGAATAGTTTCCGTTCGATTTTGCAATTATTATTTGTATCAATTTTCTTTTTTGGATAAAAAAGAGTAAATAGACCTTTAAAATTCATTTATAAGCAAAAACCAGAAAGTTCGGTAATGCAACCTGTGTAGTTTCAGTAATGCAATACCTCAGAGTTAAAACCAAATTTCCAAAAAATTGTTTTTGTTTCAAAAGCAAAGTTTATAATTTTTAGACATTCAATTTAGTAAATATTACATCCAGCAAAAAAAAAATTCTTAAAAATGCATATAAAAAAAATTTTGTTAAACATTTTTTTTTTGAAAACCCAAGTACGAGATCTGTTAACAAATATATTATATAAAGTTTACTTGAACTCAGAAATTTAAAAACGCCACGATGATATGAAAAATGTCAAATTTTAGAAATGTGGATTTATTTAGTTTATAGCTTGATTTGAAGAAAATGAATAAAAAAGACATATCCGAAGGTCATTTTTATGATCCCCATGCATAAACCCTCTTTTTCAATGCATTGGGTAATGTAACACATTTTTTTAAACAGCTTTTTTTTTTTTTTTTAATTTTTTTTCAAAAATAACATACCTAAGTTTATATCTTTCTAATTAGTAATACTGAAAAAAAAAATTAAAAAATACTAAACGGCATGGCAATAATCTAAAATCCTGTGAGCCTATGATGATGATAAATCTACATTTCTAAATTTTATTGTTGCAATAACAAACAGAGAACCATATACTGATGATGATAATGATGATGATGATGATGATGATGATGATGATGATGATGATGATGATGATGATGATGATGATGATGATGATGATGATGATGATGATGATGATGATGATGATGATGACAATGATTACTCCAAATATGTAAATTGCATTTTATAAAGGACATATTATATAAAATTTACAGAAATTTTATAAATAATATGTATAAATAATAATAATTTATTATATTTTGGTAAATTTATAATGCATAACATTAATTGGTAATATATAATGCATAACATTAATTGTGCATTATATATTTGATAAAAGCAATACTTTTGCATTACTTTGAACTAAAACTTTGTTTATATAACAATCAAAACAAACAATGTAATAAAAATAATGTAACATATACAAAAATATTAGTAAAAATGATCATTAAAAAAATGTACCTTACCATCATTTTTATCATCAGGCTTGATCAATGGTTCTTTATCTCCTATATATTCTAGTGTACTAACCACTGGAGGACTCATCTACAATGAGTATGTATATTTAATATATTCTAAAATTTTTTGAAAATAAATTATTGTACAGTCATTTATTTTAAAAGTTTATTATTAAATGCACATGCATTTGTACTAAAATTTTTAAAAAATTGTTGTGCTCTATATATTTTTGCAAAAAACTCGAAATGAACATTTTTCAAATATTTTCAGATTAAGGAACTGCAAGAAGTTGTATAGAAATATTTAAATAATTAAACTACAAAAATGATTGACAATAACAATGGGGATAATTTATATATTTAAAAAAATAACAAAGGACAATCTGTATTACTCAACCATAAAAAACTCTTTTTGACACATGCAACCTCAGATTTTATTGATTTAATATATATAATAAATATAATGATAAATACGCATTCAATAATTATAAACATTATAAACATAATGATAAATACGCTTTTAATAACTAGTCTCCACTTTTTTAAAAATGTTTCGATTGATTCTTGGTCAGAAAATTTGCACCAGCTGCAAAAAGATCTGTAACACAAGCCAGAGAATGTTACTAGTTATATGGTGCAGATATTACACATTTTCTACAGAAAGAGGGAACTCAATCTTTGCTTGATAACAAAAAAAATATATAAAAAAGACAGTAGTTCAAAATTTATCTTAAGAATTATAAATGCAAAAGCATTTGATTCTCTAAAATCTTAAAAAACTGTATGCTAAGTTTAAAAAGAGTATGTTATGTTTAAAAAGTAAAAACCTAGATTTAAAGACTTGTTTTAATATGCTTTTGCTCACATTATTCACAATTTTTTCTTAGATTAGCTGATTAAAAATTTAAATTTAAAAACTTTATATTTTCAATCAGCTTATAAAGTTGAATAAAATTGATTGTTTGTTTTTAAAAAATAAAAAGTTAAAAAATATTACTTTTTTTAAAACCCAAAATACAAAATAAATAAAGTTTATGCAGTTTAAACAATATTCCTTTGTTCTGTATAACTCTGTTTTATACTCTTTAAACTATTTAACAAGTTCTGAATTAAATTTTGCTATCATGCCTGCTGGGAATTAGTACCTATAGATTCATTTTTATAAAACTCTAAAGATCGCTTTGACCACTTTAACTATTTTCTAATCATTTTTTTTACTATTGATCTTTTATTATGAGTCATTTTATTATTTTTATTATAAGATTTTTAAGTATTTTTAGGTGATATATATTATATGATTTGTTTTCTTTCTTTTTTTACTTTTAGCCATCCAATTCACTTCTTAAATTAACAAACTCTAAATATCTTTTAAGATTTTATGTCTAACAACTTTCTTTCCGACAATCAATATGAATTTTGATCTTTTTGTTCTAAACACTAGTGAAAAAAATTTGGTGAATTTTTTGAGCTGTTAAAACTTATAGAATTTTTAATTATTTAGGCTTACTATGTTGGTTGTTTTGTTTATAAAGCATTAGTTTTAATTGAAAAACCAGTTTGAAACTTCAAAAAAAAATTGCAAATTAATTTAAGTCTGATCAAGCAAAAATAAAATTAAAACAAAAAAGCTTGCATGATTTAGCATAAAAATATTGTGTAATCTCTTAACTTTTCTTTCTCTTTTTTAAAGATATAAATACTATCGTATTTGCTGCTCAAGGAAGTTATCATCTCTTGTTCTCTCTACCGAATTTTCATCTTGTGTGACAATTCAGCCAACTTGCATACTTCTACTATCAAGCTTTACTGTTAATAAGAAAATGCAATAATATTGCATTTTCTGTAGACCCATTCATTACACAATTCAAATTATGTAGCTTTTAATATCAAATACAGATTTATAATAAATACCAAATGGAAACTTTACAACAGTATCATAGATACAAAATGTAAATAATGATAGCAATTCGGTAGCAAATAGTGTTATTTATTGAAGATAGTCAATATATATATATATATATATATATATATATATATATATATATAATATATATATATATATATATATATATATATATATATATACATATATATATATATATATATATATATTATATATTATATATATATTACATATATATACATATATATATATATATATATATATATATATATATATATATATATATATATATATATATATATATATATATATATATATATACATATATTATATATGTATATATATATATATATATATATATATATATTATATATATATATATATATATATATATATGATATATATATATATTTATATATATATACATATATATATATATATATATACATATATATATATATATATATATATATATATATATATATATATATATATATATATATATATATATATATATATATATATATATATATATATATATATATATATATATTGACTATATTTAAAAAGTTATATTAAAAAAGTTGATCCTAAAAATTCCAAAAAAATCCATCAAACCACCGTTAAACAATATAAACATATAGTTGTTTAATTGCGCTTTCATTTTCGCTTTCATTTTGCGCTTTTTGTAATCCGCCTTTCAACGCTTATTGCGCTTTTAATCAAAACTAAAGGGCGTTTAAAAACAAAATTAAAATATTATAATAACTTAATGACCTTTGTTTCGTAAAAAACAAATAAAGCAATGTATAATAAACAGTTTTAAAAATACTTAAATTAATGTTATAAAACTACAATCAATTGATCGATTTAAAAAAGCAATTAACAGCATGCAACGTACAATTGTTTATTGCTTTAACAGCTTTCTTCTAACGAGGCTGCAAGCATTGTTCTCCAAATTAGGAGCTATTATAAAGTAAAAGTTTATAAAAGAACTTACGGATCTTCCATAAATTACACAACGCTAAATTTAACTAATAGACAAAACAAAAACGGTTTTGTCTTTATTTAAACCAAAAACCTTTATTTTTATTTAAAACAAAAATAAAAGTAACCTTTAACTCCAGTGAAAATTATTGCGACAAAGAGCAAATGATCTTTTGCCCCTAATTTTTAAATAAGTTAAGGGTTGTGTAATTTATGGACGATCTCTAAAAACTGTAAGTCAATAAAATATGCATCGATGTTTGAAGATAAAGAATAAAATAAATAAATAAAATTTGAGTATTGAGAGCAGTTACTGTAAAATATGCAACTTAACTGAATAATGAGCTTTGCTTGTTTGATTGTGTTTTTAAATCTGGAACAAAAAATGGTAGCTTGCTTGAACAGTAATTGTGGTAAGAGAAACTAAAGCTGAGGCTTAAGCTTGACATCTAGAGCAGGTCCAACTGGATTTGCTAGATTTAGATTTAGAGAAAGAACACTATTAGAAATACCGGTCTAAATATGTAAATAGTAGTTCATACATAGACAATTAAAAAATTTATAGCGATAGAAAATGGAGTTAGCAGTAAGAAAATGCCAACCTCAGAAAATACTAACTTTGCAATGGAATGGATTTATGGTTTTCACCAAAAAATGTTTGTAAAAGATTCAAGAAGATTCAGAAAAATGTTTTAACTTAATAATACAAAAATATCAAGAATATTTCAGTAATTATTAGCAGTAAACAACCATTGTTTGTTGTCTGTCACAAAAAAAAAAAGAGATAAAATTCAAGACAGGTGGTATTTTCCGGTATCCCAAAAAACACTGGGAGTGAAGGAGAGCGCTGTCCATCATTGATAACTTTAGTGCTGCAATTAAAAAGAAAATAACTCAATTATTTTGCAGAGGACTTATAGTAAAACTAGCATGTAAGAATTTATTGAATACCTTTAATGTCAAAAGTAATAGCCCTTATTTCACTGCTTCCATAGATTCCAAGGAGAACCTTTCTGTTATTCCAGTTAACAAATCAGCAGTAAAACAAAAGTGTCAAATTTTGCATTGATTTTCAATAAGTAAGTTGTTTGACTCTAAATGAGATATTAAAAGTTTTTAAACTAAACCATGGCTTCTAATTGTAAGAAAATTCATTAAAAGATATTTTTAATTTACTTAATAGTTATTTTCGCGTCACAGTACTGAAGGAGGCGTGAACGTCCTGGTTGAATGTACTTCCGCGGTGCTCTGTGACAAGATTATTAGGTCTTCTTGGGGCATCTAAATAATAATAATTATAAAAAAAGTTTCTCTTGAGTTGATAATACCAAACCATATTTAACATATTTTTCAAAAAAAGGTAATTTTTTTTAGTATGATGTTTGCAGAAACATCATACTAAAAAAAAGGATACATGTTTTTATAACTTATAAATACGTAACAAATATTTTGTGCACAATAAAAGACTTTTAATACTATTGGCATAGATTTAAATAAATAGTTTATGTATTTTTGGTATTTGAAAACATTTGGTTCAAATATTTTCAAATGCAATATAGTTAGTATCATAGCCTGAAGATATCGTACTTAATAAAATACTGATAGTTTTAATGAGATCGACAACTAACCTCATAATTTTGTCACTTAACTCACTTAACTAACTTTCATGAAAACCAGCAAGTTGTATTTCAATCATTTGCATTCCCAAAGCCGGGTTTAAATTTGATTTAGGTCAATTTGCATCTCTTTTTCTATTGGTCTATTTGCTACTTTTTTTCTATTGATCTATTATCAGTACTTTTAACTATTAAATTATAGCTACTACTTGGATCTTTCAAATTTTTATGGTTACTTGAAAATTTTATTACTTTTATAATTTTTAAAACAAATTTCTGTTCTAATGGAAAAAACTTTTAAAACTTTTTATAAACCTACATTACTTTTTGTAATAATAAATTCAAAATTTAAAATTACAAAGACAAAAAGAAAAAAATTATTATTTATTTCTCAATTCACACTCAATTACCTTTCGTTTTTTTTAATGTTATAAAACTACAATCAATTGATCGATTTAAAAAAGCAATTAACAGCATGCAACGTACAGTTGTTCATCATCTCCTAATACTGTTGCTTTTGGTGATATTAATTCTCGTCTTACTGGTGACGTTGATTCTCATAATACTGATTGGCTTTTTGAAACTGAATAGTTTGGCTCTTACCTAGTCTCTTTTCGGAAGTTTGGCTCTTACCAAGTCTTTTTGAATCTCTACCCTGTGGGCATTTCGATGTCGAACGAACGTCGAGCGACGTCGGATCTCGACGTCGGATCGACGTTGGGTTTACGTTGGAAATGGAAATGTTATTTGACGTCGGATAAACTGACATCGCGCGACGTCGGCATTCCGATGTAAATCCAACGTGTTTTTTGAAAACTAAAAAACGTTGCGTTAGGCAGGTATCGAACCTCGGCCTATTAGAAACTATATCTTACGCGCTTACCACTACACCACAGCGACAAATAAATTATTATATTTATTTAGTAATTTATACTTGTAGCTATTTGGGAATTATTACTTTGATAAGAAATAATTTTATTTAAATATTATATAAATATTAAAACGAATAGTTATATATTATAAAAAATGTATACTCGAAAATGTTAATAGTTAAAAAACTATGCTAGTGCATCATACAAAACCTCATGATGTTTTGTATGATGCACTAGCATAGTTTTGTATTATATATTTAATTTTTTTTTGCTATTTGAAATATATGCAAAATCGTTTGGAAAATAAGTTTATTATTATTTAATTTTAAAAAATGTGCTCATGTTCTTACAGAACATGAACACATTTTTTTTGTATAAATACACCAATTCATTTGACATATTTTAAACTTACATTTTTAAAATATTAATCATTAGAATAATGTTTTAAAAATGTAAGTTTAAAGAACTAGCGTCTTTTGTGCCATCTACTAAAATTCATTCTCGTGTTACTCGTTTTTAAATTAAGTCTTATGCTTTATCTGTGACTGTTTCTAAGTGCTCTAAAAACTCTTATTCATTTAATTTTTCTCCTCAAACATCAGCTGTTTAGAATTTGCTTCCTTCTTCTTGCTTTCCAAACTCATATAATTTGCAATCTTTTAAGACGTCTGTCAATCGTCATCATGCTCTACAAACTTCATCTGTTTTCATCCAACTCTAAATTGGTTGCTTGCAGTCTTGTTGAAAGCAAAGATGTTGAAAAAAGTAATAATAATAATAATAATAATAATAATAATAATAATAATAGCAATAATAATAATAATAATAATAAAGATTAAAGTTAAAAACCAAATTGCAATGAAGTTATCTTAATTATTAAGTACGATTAATTGCGCCGTTTGCGTCAATTGTTTAACAACTGTTTCATTAAACATGGAAACAGTTTGCTAATTAACTTGTTTTTAAATATATTTCATCATAAATGTTATATATTAGGTTATAACAATAACTTTGTTTTCATAATAAAAAAAGACGGAAAATAAAAAAGCCCCTGCAATGACATCATTAGCTCTTGCCAACATTGGCGCCAAGAACAAATTAGTTTAAAAAGATTAAAATAAACTTTAAAAGAAGGTTATCCCTACCAATTAAGGACTTATTAGTTTACAAACTAATTTAATAATATCTTCACGCAAATAATTAACTTTTATATACATTTTTTATACACATTAAATTTTATATACGTTTTTTATCAGATCCAAAATCGAGACCAAGACTAAAAAGTTTTAGTTTTGTTGAAAATTAAACTAAGTAAAAATTACTATTAAGTCTGTAATATGTTGAGCATGTTTAAAATATTGGGTTTTAATTTATTTTAATATTATCTCTAGCTACTACTTTTTTAGCTTATATTAAATTGAATGTGTTAAAAATATATTTAGCTATTTTAATAAAAAATTTTGAATCCTAAAGATGGCGCTGAAAAAAGTATGAAAAGTACCTTGAGTGTGAACATTACTGATTTAATTATATAAAACCTTTATCGACTATTAATATCAATTCCTTTATTGTATAAGTACTTCGTATAATACACTTTTATCGATGAATCAAAAAAATTGTTGCGGGTAATAATTTCTGTGACTCATTAAATTAATTAATGTAAAAAATATTTTGACCGCCCAACTCCTTAACAAATTTAAAAAATAATGAAAAAAAATTGATATAAATAAATTATAATTTACAATAAAAACTTTATAAAAGATAGTTTATTTACACAATAAAAACGACGTTTATAATTGAATCAACACCTGCGCAATGACCTTTGATAAGTACAAGTTACTCGTATTAAAAGAACTTTGTTGTTTATAGAGTTGAATTGCAAAGAGTTCTTGACTGTATACAAAATTTTTGTAGATTATGTAAGTTAAAATAAAGAAATAAATGAATCATGAACTGAAAGTTCATCATTTAAATAAAAAAGTTTCTTACGGAATCGATGTTAGTGAACGCAATTTTTGTCCTTAATTTTTATTACCGTTGATTGTCAAATCTAGTACGTCAAAACATGAGCAAACTTTTAACCATTACTTTTACTTAAAATAAAGATCTAAAATGATCCGCAAAAGTAAATGAAAGTCATTTGTAGTTATATATAAAATATTTATAAATAAGTAAATATTTACAAAGAGGCTTGTTAAGAAATTCACCGAACAGACACTAAATAGAAAATAGGTTTGTTAAGAAATTCGCAGGTTTGTCAATCCTTGTAAAACCTCAAACATCAGTTCTTTAAAAAGTTAATACAAAAACATGAAAAATGTTAGGAATTCAAGCCCCTAGAAGAGTACGTTTTAATATAGCTGGTACAATATACGAAACGTTTTTAGAAACCTTAGAGAGGTTTCCATCGACACTTTTAGGAGATTCATTACGAAGGGTTGACTTTTTTGACTCAAACACAAACACGTACTATATAAATCATTCTGCTATTGCGTTCGATGCTATTTTATTTTATTATCAATCAAATGGTCGCCTCATTCGTCCACCTCACGTGCCAATGGAAATATTCGAGGAAGAGTGTGTTTTTTACGACCTAGGAACAAAAGCAATTGGAAATATGAAAGCAAAGGAAGGATATGAGTTTGATGATACCGAAACTACATTAACAGATTTTCGAAAGTTAACTAAATTTCAAAAGCTATGGCAGTTTTTTGAGGAACCTACATCTTCTTTAGCGGCTCAAATTTACCTACTCATAACGCTAATAATAACCACGACTACTGTAATGATAGACTGTTTTGTTACTCTAGCAGTATACGGACATTCTGACACGTTTAGGGTTTTAGACTACGTAAGTAATTACACTAATTTTATATTTTTAGCAGAATTTTTTGCAAGACTAATAAGTACTCCGTCAAAGCCGAAATTTTTTAAATCAACTCGAAATATTGTCGATATTCTCGCAATACTACCGTTAATTACGTTTATAGCAATTACAGATGAACGTTTACAAAACGTTCTTTTCCATAAAGTTTTTCGATTGTTTCGAGTTCTACGATTAACGCTCTGGGCAAGATATTTTCGCTCGCTCAAAATGGTGTTGGAGATTTTGTCAAATTGCGTTAGTGATATACTAATGTTAATACTATTTATTGCAATAGCATCAACTTTGCTAGGAACTATCACGTATTATGCAGAGCTGGAAGACAAAAACAGCCCTGTATCTAGTGTTCCAGACGGGATGTGGCTCGCTGTACAAACAATTGTTACTTTAGGGTATGGGGATATCATTCCTGTAACAGTAATAGGGAAACTATTCACTGCATTAACAGCAGCTGTTGGAGCCTTAACAGTGATTCTTCCACTTTTATCTTTGGAAGAGAAGTATATTGATATTTATACAAAGATGTTTCGGATTAAAGCTATTCACTTGGATCCTTTGAAGCCCTTTAAAAAAAGCTTAAAGAGAATGTCAGACAGAAAATAAAAGCAAATTTTTAAAGTTTTTGAAAAGATTTTAAATATTTATTAAATTAAAAATTCGTATTGCATTATTATATTTATTTAAATAAACTTGACTCGTTCCAGATCGATGGGAGAATCGCAATTGGTGCCTTCAGCAAAATATTTGTTGACAAGCTCATGTGTTCGGTATTTTACTAAAAAAAAAAACAAAACAAAAAATTTAAAAATAGATTTTTAAATTACGCTTTTATCAAAATATAAATAATTACGAATGTAAGCTCCATAAAACACGGGGAACTTATTTAAAAAAAAAAGTCTCGTTATGTATTAATAAAAGTAACCAATTTTTATTTAAAAATGTATATTTAAATAAATTTATAAGAATTTTGTATGAATTGGAAGTTTAAACTTTCATTATATTATATCGTACTATTGAATGTTTACCATCTTCTCGGTGAGTTTTAAAAACTAATATTAATTTTTAAGCAGATGGTAAAAGACCATTTGTAATAAAAAATGTTGAAAATTATTTTTAAAATTTATTTGAACTAAAACCTCTAACACGTGCAAATATTAGAACTTTGAAGAAGCGAGACAACAATAAAATTTCATACATGGAAACAAAACTTAAATTTAATCACTAACAAATATTAGGAAATGAAAGAAAAGTGATTACGATGGAAAATTTTTAATCAAAATATTTTTGTAAAAAAAAAAAAAATGAACAAAACCTTTGAACTACATTGAGTGTAAAATCGGTTTGTAATGTAATGAAAACATTTTAACCTTAAAATAAAAACACAATCGGTTTTATTTTTAAGTAAAAAATTTAATAAAAGTATTTGTCCAACACGTAGTGAAAAATACATGTCGGACAAATACTTTAATCAAAATTCAGCAAATGATGTTAATTGACTGGGAATAAAAGAAAATACTAAATTAAAATGTTTACTTACGATTAAAAAGAAAAAAAAAAAAAAAAAAGCAAGCAAATTGTTTATTTTCTTCAAAAACCTAAAATTAAATTTAATGAATTTGGTAAAAATATGTAAATAACAAAGATTTGTAAAAGAAAACTGTACTAGCTAGAAATACACAAATACATTTTTTGGGCTTTCTTAGCGACAAAATTTAAAATAATTTTATTAACTAAATTTGATTTAATTGAAAGAAATAAGTAGCGCAAACAATTCTGGCCCATTGAAAAGTTAAGTAGTCTTTGATGATAATTAACTTGCTGAAAATCTTTAGCCGTAAAAACGGGCAATGGGAAAAAATTGAATGCAGTCCTTTTGCATAAACGTCGTTTAGAAGTTCAACAACCTTTTTGCTCGCGAGTATTTTTCTTCTTATAGAATATAAATACCAAACTTCTTTAGCAAGTTCATTTTTATTAAAGTCAATAGGCTAGAGTTAATAAAGATTCTCTAATTAAAAGGTAATTAATCGTTTGTCGAGCTCAATTTCTAAAATAATAAAGAAGTTTGTTCTCAAAAAATTATGGTGATAAAAGATAAAGGAGAAGATTACGATTAGAAACAGCAGCTGAACACAAAACAATGGAAAGAGGCTAGACTTAAAATTAACAAAACAGAGGCTTCCACGTCGGCCTAAATCCAGGAGATTATCAGCCAAAAATCAAAATTATCCAGGAGACATCAACCAAATTCAGGAGACATTAGCCAAAAATCAACATTAAAAAAATCACAAAAAAAAAAAAAATCCCAGCCATCCTTAATGTAGTAGTAAGAGATCGAGGGTGAACTTGATGTAAAAAGTACAAGATAAAAGTTTTAGTGAGATCATAGCAGGTCTAAACCACTTAAAATAAAATAAAAGAAAGCAAGGGTCAGGAGCAAGACAAAATTAAAAAGTGAACGGTAATTATTTTAGATTGTCTGGAAAATCCAAGAGTCACAAAGTTAACTAGATCGGAAAGAGATTGAGAATGACAAAGGTTTTAAGTTTTAGTACCAGCAGGAAAAGTGGTACAAGAACCAAGTCATTCACTGCGATGAGCATTAAAATAAGAATAAAATTATTTGCAGATGTATATAGACAAAGGGATTAGTAAATTCGATCAGAAATACCTTCAAAAAGATTACAGTGTAGGAAAAAAAAAGAAAATGACAAATAACAAAAAAAAGGCAATTTAGTGAGAAAGTACTAAAGAAAAGGACATAAAAGAATAGCCAAAAGATTCAAACCTAATTTCACAATAGTAGGCGAATTGATAAAAAAGTATATGCCCAGGTTAAGCATATGACTAATAGAGTCTTTGCAAATCAAAGGATAATAGATATATAAAATAATAATTATTAAATGATTTTCATTTCTATTACTTTTTATATTTTTATTTAAGATTCTATTAAGATTTTAAATATTTTCTTAAACAGTTTAGCAACGTTATAAATAAATTTCGAAAAAAAAATTCTTTGATAAAAAAAAATTGGTAAAGAAGAATTGGTGCTGATAATAACAAAACACTGGAGATCGGAACTATTTCTTGTAAATGTTTTTTGTTTTTTTTTGCCAAGTTGTGCTGCCCTTCTTTTTTTTAAATTACTTATACATATTTCTAGTTCGGTGATAGAGTGACATTCCTTGTATGCTATAAAAAGTGGCATATGAAATTTTTTTTCAATTTTCTTATACTGTGTATTTTCTAGTATAAACCCTTTTAAAGCGAAAGCAATTATTAAATTTTAATGGCATGCATAAGTCAGACCAAAATATAATTTCTGTTACAGACTTTGAGTAACATTTTTATTTTAACAATTTTTTATCATCCACTGTTTCAGATTTAAAGATTATTAGTATGAAGCCTAACACAAGAGAGTTTTTTATTTTTGAAACAACTCCAATAACTACTTGTGAATGTGAGCACAGCATTCCTGTTATATGTAGACTGATAACATATATACAAGATACCACATCATAGAATTAAGATTTAATTTTCTGGCTTTGATGCCAATCAAAAATAATTCCTTATGTTAAAAGAATTTTAAATTTTTTTGTGCTTCAAAAAAATGACAATTAGAATTGGTTTTTATTTATTGCCTTTTTAACTAGAGATCTTTATGCATTATTTGTTTTATAGGTATATAATGCTAATATCACAATAAATAACTTGTTTAAATAAGTTTAACTAACTCTAAACTTATTTTCCAAGGTTTAAAATATGAACACAACTTGTCTTAGATTTTTATGAACATATTTCAATTTTTTTTAAAAGCAATGGTCGTTTAAAACATCACTTTAAGGCAAGCACACACCATTGATCCATGACATTGTCTGTTCACTTAATGATGCTTTAATGCATCGCTGGCTAGAAAAGATGACTAATGGCTAAGCTGGAAGGAATTTTAAAAAAAACATTGCCGATTCAAAATTCTACATCCACTCCTAAATAGTACTTCAAAAATGAAGAATTCATTCTTTCAGTTGTAACTATAAAAACAGGTTTTGCATGAACCAACTTATTTCCCTTTTTACTGAAAAAGTTATTTTCATATGTGAGAAGAACATACTAAAAAAAAAGTTTTATTCAGCATAACTTTATTTAACATAATTTTCATATAATATTTTGCAAAATATAATATTCACTTTTGGATAGATAAATTTAGAAGTAGTCCTGTCAAAAGGGCGGTTGCTGCCATAAATGTTAACAAGAACTATATGTAAATACAATCTTTTCTTCAACTAAATTGATTTGAGTTCACAAAAAACTAATATTACAATATTTTGGATAATTCTATTGAATGATTTTAGGTAACGTATAGAGTAGAGTTAGCTCCAGGTTTGTTTTCATCATTACGAAGGTGTCGGATAAATTTGTGTAGATATGTGTTTAAACCCATTGTTGAATTTGCAGATCTAGTATTAAATTTGAAAGTGGAGTGTGAATGATTGTTTTTATGTAGACTAAATGTGATTGGATGGTTAGGTTTGTCTAAAATTCGTTTAAGTATGCTGAGACATACGAGATCAAGATGTTCTTCAATAGGAAGGATACCATAATAGCTTGCCTCATGTGGATCAATACCAGCAGCTTTTAGAAGGCAGTTTTGAAAGACTTGTATCCTAGATTTAGTTTTATTGGTCGTTGAGGTGAGGATAACTGCATTGTAAAAAAAGTGGCTAAGACAATAAGCTACTTAAAAAGATACTTATTAGGGGCAATTTTCTTATGTAGACTAGACCATTGCTTGTCAAAATTGAGACTTGAGTTAAGGTTGATGCCAAGATATTTGCATGCGTTTACAACTTCAAGAATTTCGCTTTTTAATGTTATGACTAGCTTTTCACCTCTGCCAATATAAAAAACTTTGCATTTGGCAATGTTGAGAAGCATTTTATTATTGTTGCACCATCTTTGTAGACTATTTGCCACTTCTTGTGGAAGGGAAGAGTTGTTACTAGTTATGTCAGCTAGGATATCATCTGCATATTTCTAGTGTGTTATGCTCTTCGGGAGGTAGTCATTTATGTCTAGTACATAGATTAAAAATAGATTCTGGCCAAGGACGCTTCCTTGTATTACTCCTGATAAAACATCTTTCTATTCAGTAGGCTTGCTGTTGAATATAACATGTTGTTTATGGTTTGAAGTCCATTTTGCAATCCAGTCCTATCCTATATGTGTTTTTTTTAATTCAATTTTTTATATTTAACATAATGAATATTTAACGCTGTTAAACTGTTATTAGGTTTACTACTCTAATTCAGTTTGTTAATGTCAATGCATTCTTATTATGCCAACTATGACAACCAACAAATAGCACAAAAATAGATTTAATATTTCCATGACGTTATACTGCTTCTATATAAAACTCAACTGAAAATTTTTCAAATGAAGTGAAAAGTGAAGTAAAGATTTTTTGCATTATTAAAACCAAGAGAAAAGGTCTAGTGTAAAGATATTACAAAGGAAAGGAATGCATAGTCTAAAATAGTGTCTTAATCTAATATTTAATATACAGTAATAAAGGTTTTAAAAGAATACTACAGATTATGTAAAACAAACATTAAACAGATTATGTATTAGACACTTGAGCACTAATTTATCTGATACAGACTGTCTAACAACTTTAGAAAAAAGAGCATGATATTTTCCAAATCTTTTACCATGTTATTATAACATTACAAATCTTTTACCATGTTATTATAACATTACAAATCTTTTACCATGTTA